GACGAGTTGTCATTTTATCGCCTGGCCTGTTGGACAGCCACTCAAACCATGCTTCAGAAGCACCTCAAACCTACAGGAACTTTGATGAAAATACCTTTCGTCTAACCTGTCACTCGGCGAGAAGTTCACACGTCGAAAAGGACAGTCATCTAATGGGCCAGTCAACGAAATGGCTTGGGGACGAACAGGATTCGACGAACAGTCGTTCGTCGAAAATGTTTTCTGCGAGCTGTCGTAGAAGCAGTAGTCTCCTTGATTTTTAAAAGTCTTTCCACGAAGCTGCATTGTACACTGCCCATCTTCCATCTTGTACAGTCATGTACTTCCTGGGCTGAAACAAAACCTTCCTGACTGTTCTATTCATATGCTATGCAGTTACGGTGCTCAAGAGGTTTGTTCAGTGGAATAGAAAAACACATCTCAAGAGTCGCGACATAGGGGGCGTTCGAATTGTCTTCATCATCTATTCGAACAACTTTTTTTAAAGAGATTAGTTGAAGTGTCCCATTAGAACGGTTTCTATCATTTTAGAGTTTTTCAGTGGAATTGTCATGGCGATAATGACGTCCGATCAGATCGACCATCTCGACGTAGCTATTCCAAACTCTTCGGAACTAATCCACCTCTCCCATCGGATGAGGTTGTGGAGTTTCGAGGAGTTTCGTTTTCTGAATAGGCCGAAAAAGCCACCTCTTCAGAAAAACGAAACTCCTCGAAAAGTCAAAAAGTGACAATTCGAACGCGCCCATAGAGTGGGTATACTTTTCTATACATCTACCATGATGTACACTAGGACGCAAAAGAAATTGGCGCAATATTTGAGTGTGACTCGGTATCACAGTCACAGTCACCTCCAAACCAGCTACATGTATGTACATGTACATGTAGTCGCAAGCCCGCGCTGGCCATAACAGTACGGAGATAGTGGTACATGTACGGTCGGTACCGGTATAGGGACTTGGGCGATGATTTTATAAGAAAGGACTAGTGTTCGATCCCCACACCGGAGCTCACGCTTTTCCGCCGATTTGACTTGACTGAGTCACAAAAATGCTATCCAGAGCACACGAGAAGTCTATAGAACCGTCGACTGGGCAAACCCCAGGCTCTACCAGTAGATCTACCAGCTGAAAAAACCCCAAAAAACAAAAACAGATACAAGTAGATTATCCATATAAAAACCACTCTGTGAGCGGTTCTGAAAAACCTTTACTGGTACTGCCCCGTCGTAAAAGTAAGAAATTAGAACTGGCCCATTGTCCCCCCAAATGCGAACTGATCCACCTAAATCGCGAATGACGGGACCCGAACGCACCAGTAGCACGAGGTCGGGAGGGCACAGGACAGCAATTCTCATAGGGTAACACCACCTACCGCTAGTACAGACGGTCAGTACATGGCCTATAGTCCGGACCAACGGCCCCATCTGCATTCACAGGTAGGAACCTCGTGCTACTGGTGCGTTCGGGTCCCGTCATTCGCGATTTAGGTGGATCAGTTCGCATTTGGGGGGACAATGGGCCAGTTCTAATTTCTTACTTTTACGACGGGGCAGTACCAGTAAAGGTTTTTCAGAACCGCTCACAGAGTGGTTTTTATATGGATAATTTCAGTTCTTTTTCCGTTCCCTCCCCACCCCAACCCCGAAGGTAAACATGATGACCACGCGCGCGGTGTACTGTATGTAGCCATGAGATTGCAATAACACACTGATACATACCAGCCCTCCCCGCCTCGCTACCCCGCACACAGATACACAAACATGCGTATGCACACGGCACACACACGTGGCCACGCACATGCACACGACACAAACAGGAAACTAAGTTCTTCATATATAATGCCATGCAAAGCAGTGGCCACCGTACTTGAGGAAGTCAGTTGTGAAACAAAAATAATGCAACTACAGCATGTAGACAAGCTGACGGCCAAAGCACAACATAGCAAACATGACATTTGCCCAAGGATTGCAGTTTGCAGACCACGCCATGGAAGCAGCGAATACAGAATGTAATATCATACAAAGTGACAAGCAAGGAAGTGGCCATCATACACCAGAAACTTGCAGAAAGTCACACATCCAACAGATAGAGAAGTGAACAGCAATCTGATACAGCCCACACAGGACAAAGCGGACCTGATACTCGTCCCAGGATCGCAAGTGGCAAATCCTTTTCAATGCATAACATGCAGGTTTACGTTAGACGCATGGACAACATCTGACCGTGTCACCAGCATACAATGTCATCACATGTTTACCCCACAAGTTACACACATGTACAGTAGAAGCACAATGAAAGCAATGGAAAAGTACGATGTGGTTGCTGAAGCATCTTCACACTTCAAATTCAGACTTCAATGTGGTCGTCACGGGATGATATACCTGCAAGATACAAGTGATGAAGAAAGAAAGCAGAAGGTCGTGAGGTAGACTATGAGTAGCCCTTTCCCAAAGATGCCATAGTTTTTCGCAACTTATGCAGAATTGTCATAATCGAGCATTTCCCAAACTGAGAAGTGCAATGAAATCCACTTGCATGCACAGGAGCAATTTTGCAATATTATGATGCGCAATTCGACACGATCTGCGATGCTGCGTGCAATGTGCCCTGCTGTCATGATGGTGACAGTCACCGCGGTATGTTTTGTCAACGTCGCCCGTGCACTCTTCTGTCAAGTCCAAAGTGCTCACATACTTGGCAATGTCTTTGCTGTGATTAACTTTTATCCTAGTTATGTCACGGGTAACTTTAATGAAGTACCCACAGGCCGTGTCGATCCGCACATCGTCCACTCTCTCATGTACTTGGCCTGCTTTGTCTGTGTATCCATTTCATGTGCGATCCACAAAATCGACTAGACAGTGGGTGCAATACGCTGTCTATCTGAAGACGTTCTTCTGGCGACATCTCGCCATGTACTTGGCCTGCTTTGTCTGTGTATCCATTTTCATGTGCGATCAACAAAATCTCAATGCACTACAGACTAGACAGTGGGTGCAATACGCTCTCTATCTGAAGACGTGAACCATTAATTTTTTTGGAAAAGTTATACGTACACCTGAAACGTAATGAAGTACAGGAATAGAGAGAGTGACTACAATACGCTCTCGACCTGATATAGTGATAACGTGTTAGAAGGTAACAGGTCTACAGTCCCACCGTACCCTTCCGACACGACTGTAGACCATTAATTTTTTTTGACCTGATAACGTGTTAGTAGAAGGTAACTGGCAACATATCAATGGGTTGCCTTACCGTGGTCTAGAGGAGACGTCTTCGCAGCAATATTTTCCCTCCTGCGCATTCAGTCGCCGACGCGACAGCGTTTATTGGGCCGTTCCAGTTGCGGAAGACATTCGATTCATCGATTCAGCAACAGGGCTGTGGACACACAGGGGGCAGAGGAGAGACATTGTTAGTGGACAAGAAATATGCAGTGGCAAGTGCCGCATGGATGTCAAGTTGTCATTCACAATTCAGCTATTACTTACGGTCCAGCTAGTCCTGCCATTGCTCGCTCGTCCTGGTTCCTCCTCGTTCGTCTTCCTGCACGTCTGCACTTCTCCTTCCCCACCGTTGGCTTTGCGGTATGGGGGTGCCGGAAGGAATTCCCACCATGTGTCCATGTACATGAAGTCCCACCATGTCTCCACGGCCACGTCAGCAGTTTGTATAGTACCGGAAGGAGTTCCCACGATGTCTCCAAAGGCCTAGAGCGGACGTCTTTGCAGCAATTCTTTTCGCCCTGCGCATTCAGTCCGCCGACGATGTCTCCAAAGGCCTAGAGGCCGGGGACGTCTTTGCAGCAATTCTTTTCGCCCTGCACATTCACTCCGCCGACACGACAGCGTTTACGGGGCCGTTCCAGGTGCAAAAGGTCCACGTTAGCAGTTCTCAACTATTTCGCGTACGGGATAGTCGCCGCGACAGCGTTTAAGGGGGCGTTCCAGGTGCAAAAGGTATCCATCAATGGCACTTTGCAGTATGGGGTACGGAAAAGGGGCCTCCTCGTTCGACTTCGTCGACTTCTGTAGTTCTCCTTCCCGTCAGGGGTACCGAAAGGGGCCTCCTCGCAGTTGTCCTTGCCGTCAGGTCCACGTCATGCAGTTCTCAACTATTTCGCGTACGGGATAGTCGGCTTTGTCGTACGCGACATCGGCGTTTACCGAGTGGCATGGGCACAAAGCAGACCGTTGACGGGGTCACGTGTCAAAAAAGTATCAACAAAGTGTCGACTACGTGTCGACCACGTGTATAGCGGTACACTCAGCGGTACACTAATTCTCGTGCCATTCTCGTGTCACAAAACTGGAACATCGAGTACCAGTATGGAAAGGCTTCAGACAGGAAGCCTTTCCAATCTACATGTACGTAGACGACCTGATGAGACTTGTCAGTAGTCGTAAAGAGGTGACGTGACGCACGGCCTTGGCGACATCAGACTCAGTCAGAGATCTAAACAACAGCGCCAAAGTGCTTCCCTTTTGGATGCGCATGTTCTTTTCTCCTATGTATCTATCGGCGCACCGGAGTAACGATTATTCCGAGACCTTTGGCCGGAGGAGTCACTTTTGCCCCGCCCCCACTTCAATCCAATATGCCACCGCCCCCACTGTGCAGCATCTGATGGTTCTGTGGTATTCAGTAAAAAAAGAGAAAAAAAGAAAAGAAAAAAGTGCAGGTCTTGCTGACCGAATGAAGTCGATCTGCATGCATGTAGTACAAATAATTCAATGTTTGTACAATCATGACTCATGTATCTGGGTGGAGTCTACACTATGTCCATGTCCATGCCCTGAGGCTGAGGACCACGTCGTCCAGGTAGACCACTGCACTGCACACTGGTAGACAGGGTCAGGATACTTGTGTAAGCTGTGACAAGTCTGCCACAGTCCACCAGTGCCAGGTCTACCATCCGCATGCTCCAGCTCATCAGGTCCCTAGCTAGGCCCTGCGCACGGCCGGGACTACAGAGTTCGCCCAGAAAAAAAGTGAGCTCTGCCGCCGTGCCGGGCCACCATACCACTGCCTGGCACCAGTAATATCTTGACTCTTGTTTTCCAGGCACTTGTCGTCCCACGCAGTACAGACTCAGTAGTGTGTGTTCATTTGGTTTGATTACACGGCCGGTCGGTAATGGAACAGGAAGGTTGTGTGGTGTTTCAGCAGGTCATTTTGGATAGCGTTTTGTCACGAGCTCGTGCTAGTTCTGCGTGGAAGTGAAGACTCCTTGCGCGCGGCCATCGCCGGACCGCGGAGTAGGAGGACCCGCTATCCACTGCCAGCTGCATTGTGGAACTTCGGCAGGTAAAATTTACATTATTTTTTGTATTTCCTGAACATACGATGCAATCATGCCTGTACAGTGTATTCGGGAATGCCTGTACTGTTACCCCACTGTATACTACATGTAGTATGATACATGTACAGTGTATTCGGGAATGCCTGTACTGTTACCCCACTGTATACTACATGTAGTATGATACATGTACAGTGTATTCGGGAATACCTGTACTGTTACCCCACTGTATACTACATGTAGTATGATACATGTACAGTGTATTCGGGAATACCTGCACTGTTACCCCACTGTATACTACATGTAGTATGATACATGTACAGTGTATTCGGGAATACCTGTACTGTTACCCCACTGTATACTACATGTAGTATGATACATGTACAGTGTATTCGGGAATACCTGTACTGTTACCCCACTGTATACTACATGTAGTATGATACATGTACAGTGTATTCGGGAATACCTGCTCTGTTACCCCACTGTATACTACATGTAGTATGATACATGTACAGTGTATTCGGGAATACCTGCTCTGTTACCCCACTGTATACTACATGTAGTATGATACATGTACAGTGTATTCGGGAATACCTGCTCTGTTACCCCACTGTATACTACATGTAGTATGATACATGTACAGTGTATTCGGGAATACCTGTACTGTTACCCCACTGTATACTACATGTAGTATGATACATGTACAGTGTATTCGGGAATACCTGCTCTGTTACCCCACTGTATACTAGTAGGTAGAAACGTGACTGCGTAGGTCTACCCTCAATAGTAGACAACCTCGGATTCAGCATTTTCGTGTTTTAAGATTTTTTCTGCTGTTCTACAGTGCTGCTCAATGAAATCCAGTTGCGTCACTCAAGTTTGCGCTTTGCACTATGTCGCAGCCCAGTGTTTGCAGGTCTAGGGCTGCACTACGCCCGGCGCGTACTTCAGCGACGCGACTGGATTTCATTGAGCAACACTGTGCATCATAATTGAAAGTTCACGGCCCTACGCTATGCTTTTTCGCCTACTGTAAGACATGTTATTATAACGAGTCGCTAATTTGACGATTGTCCAAAATTCATAGGTTAACAAGAAGATAATTATGTTAACGATCTTGCAGTATTCCGGAATATCCCCACACAGCATATATGAAGCAGCACGGCCTCAATGGATCTTATTATAACGAAGAAATGTCATCCGTTAAAACGTTAGATTTGCTTCCTCGTTATATATACATGCCTTACAGTACCTGATCATGCATGTTATTAGATAACCAGATCCTAGATACTGGCTACGCATCTTGCCACAAAGTCGGCGGGTCTACAGACGGGATATTTGCTCCGTCGTTTCTTGCTGTCGGCGTAGCGTTTCGCAAGCACGTCAACTCTCGAGGCGGCTGGACCTCTCTTCTCCCATCTTTTAGTCTCTGTGTAGGCACTCCTGCCGACGCCGTCTGCTCAGAGCTTCAACACTGTCCCCCCTGTCATTTTGCTCTTCCTCACAGTACTCTGTTAATGATCTCAGCATTCTATTTGCACAAGAACCATGCCCATTAGAACACTAAAATCTACCCTATCCTTACCTTCCCGGCCCATTAGCAGCACAACCAAAAACATTCGAACGATAATGCGACACCGTCTAAAGTCTTTCTAAATCAAACCGCGAAAAATACAATACTGCGATCAAAACCATACCGCTAATTATCTGACACACAGTGCGACAAGGTCTTTTAAACAAATCCACAAAAATCAACAGGTTTTGTTAGCTAGCCACTGACCGCTATATCCTTTACCGAAATTGTATTCTTGAACGCAATATTCCCAAGTTCTTTCTTTTACTTCTACTCTGCTCCATCAGCACTCGGCTGAAGGCAGGAGATTACCACCCACTGGCCTTCCCCAACATAACCTTGACTCCTACGGCACTCGAGATGCTCTGTCTAGATCTAAGCTGCGATACGCACTACATACTCATTTTACGGTATGGGACATTTACGGAATATCTCGCCAACCATGGCGCGTCATGTGAAAGGCCCCACCACACATACCTACACCGAATTAAAGCGTTGTGGACACTGGCTAGCGACAGACGTTACTTAAGTAATGTCTATTGCATAGCTACCGGAATAAATCATACTCACACATACAGTATCCGGATCAGGAACGCTGTTTCCACAATACAAGACAAAGTTTTACCCTGACCTCTGTACAAGATAACCCATTTTAAAACAATTTTCTATCGAATCCCTCCTATACAAGGCAACATGAAACATCGATCGAGCTACAGTAGCTAGAAAGAAACAGAGAAATCGTGTTTTCAAACTTTCCGCCTGGCTGTTGGCAGCAAACATTGGGCCATCCGAGCAATATTGTAGTTGAATAGGCGACGAGGAGACAATAACTTTATTAAGGCGATAAATAGTATAAGCGAAGCTTTTTGTCGATGCCAGTAGCTCCTCCATCATTGAGTTTCTTCCCAGCAGATATCACCTTTGCTTGGGAGATCGACAGGCGGAGTCCTTGGTCAGCCGATGTCAGCTGGGGGGGGGGGGGGGGGGGGGTCATCGCCACCCAACCGTGTTTCCACCCCAACACATAGCTGCTGCTGCATACTGGTGTATCCATATTATGTTCTGCCTGTTGTACGCATTGCCCTTTTGCACTCGCGTGTGTACGCATACTAGTACACACATGCATCACGGTTTTCTGCCTGTCCTTTGCTATGGACAAGAAGTCTTCTCTCTTGGTCTTCTGAAAGATAAGTCACAAACCCTACCTCGTGTGTTTGCGTTTGTTGACACAACATGGCGCAGTGAACATCTTACTTTACCTGTAGTCTTAGTATACTAGTAGTTCCATTGCAGTTGTAGAGTAGCCCACCTGTAGTGTTGCTCTCTGCCCGTTTTCGTTTCGCTTCGAAAATTGTCCGTTTCGAAGTTCTAGAATTGTTTCGTAGCCGTGTAGTACGATATCGATAGTTGTGATTTCGCCATGGCGGATGGTGCTAAGTCACAGCCTGACATCAACCAACTTGTGCAGCTGATCCAAGATCAAATGCAAGCATCTGCCCAGCGCGATGCACAGCTCCAAACTCTGTTGCAGTCAATGTCGCAAGGATCATCAAGCAGCACGAGTGGACCTGCTTCGTCTGCTCCTGCTCCATCCACCAAGCCCGTCGCTGAGGATCGGCCCATATTGTTGTCGTCGGCGAATCTAGCTGAATTTGTGTCGTGGAGCGAGGCCTGGGAGGACTACTCCCGGTGTCAGCTGTTGTCAGCGCAGCCCCGCGAGACAAGGATGGCCGCGTTTAGGCAGGCCTTGGATGAGGGCCTGAGACGTTTCCTGCGGGAAGGTGTGATTGTGGTGCCAAACACCCATGACGTCCCGGAGGCCATGGTTGAACTACGCAAGTTCATCCGGCGCCAGCGCAACCCCCTGCTGGACAGGATTGAATTCTACCGCCGTGCCCAGCAACCTGGAGAGACGTTCGACGCGTGGTACACATCCCTGAGAGAGTTGTTTCATGCGTGCAACTTCTCCGGTTTGGATGTCTGTTCGACATGCTCAAGACGTATGTGTCAAACATGCCAGCAGTCACTCCAGGCTAACACGGATGAAATTCTGCGAGACCGCATTGTTACCGGCATCCTGCAGGATGACGTTCGACACAAGCTGCTGGCAATGAAGGATCTAACCCTGGCAACCTGCGTCGACCTATGCCGCGCCGAGGAGGCCGCCAGTCAAACCTCGTCACGTATCCCCAGTCTGGCCACTGGAGACGCGTCCGTGAGTGCCGTTCGTTCCAGCTATAAGAAGCAGAAAGGAATGGCATCCAAGCAAGCTCGAGCACCCGCAGCCAAGGATTCCAAGTCTGGCAGCAAGCCCTCGCCGGACAAGTGTCCCAACTGTGGCCGCACCGCTCATAGCAAGCGACCCTGCCCTGCTGCGGATCGCAAATGCAACGGCTGCCAACGCACCGGTCACTTCTTATCCATGTGTCCGTCTGCTTCTAAGAGGACTGTCGGTCAGCTGAAGCTGCAACATGCCGCGTCCTCCCGTGAAGGGGCTACCATAGCCGTCAACACGCAGCTCGTGTCGGCAGACAAGCCAACCAGTTTGTGCTGGCTTCCTGACACCGGCAGCGACATCAACGCTATTGGCTCTGCACACCTCGAGCTCCTCGGAGACTTTGTTGAGAATCTGCCTACCGACAAGGATGTTGTGCGCACCGCTGATGGCGCACCCTTGACCAGTCTTGGCAAGATCCAGGCAACCTTGACGCTCGATTCCGTCACAAACGACACCACACTGGACGTGTTCAAAGGCCTGGATGAGGCACTGCTATCCCGCCAAAGCCTCTGTGCCTTGAATCTGTTGCCTGCTTCTTGGCCCTCCGTGTTTGTCCGTTCTGCCCGTACTGAACCCAACACTGCCCAGCAGCTCCAACAGCAGCTTCTGGAAGAGTTTGCCGACGCTTTCGACAGCTCACAGCTTCCACCAATGGACGGTCCGCCCATGGACATCCAGTTGGAAACAGGTGCAGAACCCAGCTGCGTCCGCACTGCTCGCGCCATACCGTTTGCCTACCGGGATCAGATAAAGTCCCAACTGGACAGTATGGTCGATGATCGCATTATCGAGCCAGTCACAGAACCCTCTGCGTGGTGCCATCCGATCGTTCTCGTTGAGAAGAATGGCACCACTGAGATGCGACTGACTGTGGACCTTCGAAAGCTGAATGATCAGGTACGCAGACCCACCCATCCTGCTCGTACACCACATGACGCAGTGGCAGCCATCGGCAAAGCCAGCTACTTCACGAAGCTCGACGCCCGACATGGCTATTGGCAAGTCCCGCTGTCCGACGATGCCAAGCCGCTCACCACCTTTATCACACCGTGGGGGCGGTACCAGTTTCTTCGCAACCCGCAGGGCCTTGTCTAGGTTGGTGATGTATTTAACTCCCGTACCGACGCAGCGTTTGATCGCCTCACCAACTTTGTAAAAGTGGTTGACGATGGTCTTGTGTACGATACGGAACTGACGGCTCATTTCACCCACGTTCGTGACGCTCTACTTCGCGCCCGTCAGCACGGCATTACCCTGAGCGCCAAGAAATTCGTCTTCGGCGTCCCAAAAGTCGACTACTGTGGCTACCATATCAACACGGATGGTTACACCGTTGACAGTGACAAGACGGCAGCCATCACTGATTTCCCAGTGCCCGTTAATCGCACTGACGTCCGCTCATTCTTCGGGCTAATCAACCAGTGTAGTGATTTCTCGCAGCGTATCGCACAGCTCAGCGACCCGCTTCGCCCGTTGCTGAAGTCCACGAATGTGTTCTTGTGGGAGTCGGCACACACTGACGCGTTTAACGCCGTCAAAGCTGCCCTGGCTTCTCCCCCGATATTGTCGTTCTTTCTGCCTGGCCGACCGCTTCGGTTAGAAACTGATGCGTCCGTGAAGAACGGACTTGGTTATGTTTTGTGGCAGCAGCAGGGCGACACCTGGCGCATACTCCAATGTGGAAGCCGGTTCCTATCTGATGCCGAGACGAGATACGCCGTCATTGAGCTTGAATGCCTTGCGGTTACCTGGGCAGTACGCAAGTGTTCGATCTATCTCTCCGGTGCTCGGTTTGAAGTTATTACCGACCACCGCCCACTCATCCCTATTCTGAACTCCTACTACTTGGATCAGATAGAGAATCCCCGGCTGCAGCGGCTCGTCCTGAAACTTCGGCCCTATCAGCTACATGCAACGTGGCGGAAAGGCACGGATCATGCTTTCCCTGACGCTCTGTCCCGCCATCCAGTCAGCGACCCCTGCCCTGACGATGAACTGGGTGAGAGTACTGCCTCTCAGGGCGCTGCTATCCGTGCGTGCACGCTTGATACGTCTGGTGGCCTGAACTACCACGCGCTCTGCTCAGCCGCCCAGGCCGACACTGACTACCAGTGCCTAGTTCAGTTCATCGTGTCTGGTTTCCCTGCGAAGAGGTCCCTCATGCCTGAGTCACTCCAGCCGTACTGGAATGGTCATGAGCACCTCTCTATTGACAGTGGTTTAGTGATGAAAGGACCCCGTCTCTTGATTCCCGTCGCTCTCCGGCAGCGTGTCTTGTCTGATCTACACGCATCCCATCAAGGATTGACGCGCACGAAGTCCCGTGCCCGGCAGATTGTATTCTGGCCACAATTGTCAGCCGACATCGAGCATGTTGTCCGCAGTTGTGACAAGTGCCGCCTGCACAGCGCTTCACAACCGAAGGAGCCACTCCGTGTGGACGATCGTGCTCCAGATCTGCCATTCCACCATTGCAGCGCCGACCTGTTTGAGTATGAAGGCCTGCAGTATCTGGTGTATGTGGACCGACTAACCAGCTGGCCCTGCGTTGCCAAGCTCGGACGCACTGCCTCCTCTGCAGACGTCATTCGGTCTCTTCGCCGCTGGTTTCCTGACATTGGTGTCCCCGAGGTTCTTACCAGTGATGGTGGCCCCCAGTTCCAGTCCCATGTATTCGCCAAGTTCTGTGATACCTGGCACATCCGTCACGCTAAATCCTCTCCCCATTATCCGCAGTCGAATGGGCTTGCCGAGAAAACCGTGAAAGCAATGAAGCCGCTAATTCACAAGACCACTAGTAATGGCGACCTCGACGTGGATTCCTTTCAACGTGCGTTGCTTGAGTGGAGGAATACCCCGAACGCCACTGGTCAGAGTCCAGCCCAAGCTCTCTACGGCCGGCCTCGTCGTCTTTTGTGTTTGCCGACCATTCCAGCTTTGCTCCTGCATGGCAAACACACGCTAATGAAGTTGACCAGCGCTCATCACACTACCTGGAGTCGACTCAGCAGCATTACAACCGCTCTGCTCGGTCCCTTCCTTGTCTGTCTCTTGGAGCACATGTCGACATCCAGCATCCCGGACCAAGTTGTGGTCAGCTCATGGCTCAATCGTAGCCATTGGTCAGCACCGGGACTACTTGGTAAAACTTCCAAGCGGCCGCATCTATTGGCGCAACCGCCGTTTCCTCCGACCGAGAGTCTCTCCTACACCCCCGCCAGCTGCAGCCGTCCCTACTGTTTATGCTCCAGACGCTGCACAAGGCCAGACACCAGTTGCCTCTATTGCCCCTGGTGTGCATGCCCCAGCACAGCCTGCACCACGCCGCAGTCATCGCCATCGGCAGCAGAATGTCCCGTTTAATGTGATATCCACACGCGGACAATCTTATGTCTGATGACTTTGTCCTCATTCTGTTTCTGCTCTTCTGCCGGACCTATGACTGTTGCTGTTACTAATGCATTTTATTGCTGCTGTGTTTTTTGTTTGTTTTGATCAGATAAAAATGTCTTTTATCTCAGAAGGGGCGTGGTGTATCCATATTATGTTCTGCCTGTTGTACGCATTGCCCTTTTGCACTCGCGTGTGTACGCATACTAGTACACACATGCATCACGGTTTTCTGCCTGTCCTTTGCTATGGACAAGAAGTCTTTTCTCTTGGTCTTCTGAAAGATAAGTCACAAACCCTACCTCGTGTGTTTGCGTTTGCTGGCACAACACATACTCTGCTCTCTATCACTTGGCCTTGCTGGATCTGCGCAGACGTTGGCATAAAGAGCGTGAGAAAAATGATGTATGATACAAACAAGAAGTCAATTGGCTCTGCCCTCGCGATGTGGAGGACTTTTGCAAGTATTAGCAACTTGGCTGGCACTGCTGTTGCCAGAACAACACTATGAGACTGTGCTCTTACTATTAAATCGAAAACCCCTTCACATGCTCTAGGTCACTATTAAGGGCTTGATCATTCTTATTCCTAATATCCCTTGCTCCGGGTCACTATAAGAGACTGGGCTATTCATTACGATGCCGTATTCTGATGTGGTGTATTTGGTGGGTATGTTTTGTGTTTGATGTGCCTTACAGTGATGGCAGCAGTGAACGTTTCCAAGCTCCTTCGGTACACTTGGGAGGATAAAGTGGAGGATCTAAAAGCAGCAATAGTTGAGGGTGGTGTTCTCAAAAAGGAAATCAAACTCCAAAAGGATGCCAGGGGAGATCCATTGTTGGTATGCAGAACTTTAGAATGTGTTGACTTGGGCAAGAATGATCTTTGCATGAGCATGTGTTGCTGCATGAGTGTCAGCCTGTGTGTGTGTTTGTGTGCGTGTGTGTGTGTGTGTGTGTGTGTGTGTGTGTGTGCATTCGTGCGTGTGTGTGTGTGTGTGTGTGTGTGTGTGTATGTGTGTGTGCATGTGTGTGTGTGTATTTTTGTTCCCTCTGGGGACGGTTTGAATTTTCCGAGCTCCCCTGGTTGTCGAAAGTAGTTAGCTCCACGAGTCTTCTGGGGCGGCTCTGGTCCACCAGGGCCGTCCCAGGACATGTAATTCTCAGCGCAAGAGATTCAGGGCCAGCGCAGCAAGAAGACGGGGTGTCGAACGATGGCACCACTTCTTGTTGCGCCTGAATCTCCCACTCGCGGCGGATTGGCAAACCCCCGAGTGGACAGAGATCAGCGCTTCAAAAAATCTGCCCAAGCACGGAGAGAGAGGAGGAGACGCTGCCTGATCCGCGTCGGATCCTGGAATGTTCGTTCTCTCGTTGAGAGCGAAGGGAACATCGAAACGGCAAGTATTCAAAACAAGGTTGTTGAAGACAGGAAACTGGACCTCGTCATCTCCGAACTACATCGACTCAGCTTGGACGTCGCTGGTGTACAAGAAACACACTGGTTTGGTGAACATCTATACGAGGACGACAAAGGAAATACAGTGATAACGTCTGGGCGAGCTGTGGACGCAAATACCCATCGTCGTCGAGGAGAAGGAGTTGAACTAATACTCAATAAATTTTCGTCCGGCGCGTGGAAAGCTGGTGGTAGTTTTTGGAGGTCGTTTGGTCCGCGTGTGGTACTATCACGTCTCAAACTTCCACTCAGCCATTCCAGGGGAGTGAACAATCCTAAATCGATTTCTGTCATCAGTGCCTACGCCCCAACGTTTGCCAGTCCAAGAACAGCAAAGGATGAGTTTTTTCACCAATTGCAGTGTGCCATCAATGTATGCAAGGACCATCAATATATCCTGCTTGGTGACTTCAATGCGCGCGTTGGCTCTGGTATGGCTGAGGATGAGTGGGGCAGAGTACGTGGACCTCATGGTTTGGGCCAACTGAACAGTGCTGGAACCGAGCTGCTGTCCTTTCTGTCCATGAACAACGCTAGTCTTTGTAACACCTGGTTTGCGAAAAGGGACATCTTCAAGCGGACGTGGCAACACCCTGGGTCAATGGCTTGGCACTGTATTGACTACATCATTGTTCGCCAAGCCGATCAGCGTCACTGCATGGATGTCACCACAGTACGGAATGCGGAGTGTGGGAGCGATCATGAGCTACTTACCATGTCTTTCGACCTGGATACTCCGGCCGTGCGCCGCCGTGCTGCCCGTCATAGCCCTCCGGTTTTTCAATTTGATGTTGCCAAGATGTGTGGCGAAAATCCTGATCTTCCGTCAAAGCAGTCTGCAGCCGAACACTACCAGTCGGATGTTGCTAAAGAGCTCGCTGATCGGTGGCCCGAGGAGGGCAGTGTTGAGAACCAATGGACTGCGGTACGTGATGCTGTTGTTACATCAGCTATGGGTAACTTGGGTCCACGAAAGAGACGGCAGTCAGACTGGTTTGCTGATAGCCAGGATGTCATTCAACCGCTCTTGGACGAACGCAATGCAATGTACAATGTGTGGGTTCAACATGGTAGGCTCCGTGACGATCACTATTCCAAGTTCAAGGCTGCCCGTGCTACTGCCCGTTCTGCAGTACGTCATGCGAAGGTGGAATGGATCAAGAACAAGGCACAACAGGCCTCGGAGTCCCGATCTGATGGCGCGGCAGTTTGGAAGTGTATAGGAGATTTGCAGGCGTGCTGTCGTGGACGGGTGGGCACCCGGGTGTCTGCTATCAAGGATGAAAATGGTAACTTGTGTGAGTCTCAGGAGGAACAGGATGGTCGGTGGAGTCGTCATTTCGACACAGTGTTGAATATCCCATCTACGTTCGTCCCTGCGGTACTGGACTCTCTCCCACATTGCCCGGTTGCTGATGATTTGGCTAACCCCCCAACGTCGGCTGAAGTGCGACGTGCAATCGATAAGCTGAAGCCTGGCAAGGCTGCTGGCGCATCCAGGATTTTGCCGGAGCTGGTTAAGTACGGTGGTTTTCCTCTACGGGACAGGATGCTAGATCTGTTTGGTGCTGTGTGGAACTCCGGACAGGTACCGCAGGAATGGGTTGATGCTACTCTCGTACCCATCCCCAAAAAAGGCGACCTGCAACTGTGTGACAATTGGCGTGGCATTGCTCTGTTGGATGTTGTGGGGAAGGTGTTGGCTGCCATCATACAGACACGTCTCCAGCGGCTAGCGGAGACCCTGCTGCCAGACTCGCAGTGTGGTTTTAGGCGCGGGCGCTCGTGCTCGGACATGATCTTCTCTGTACGCTAACTTGTGGAGAAATCTCTCGAGCATGACACGAAAGGCTACATGGTTTTCATCGACTTGCGCAAGGCCTACGATTCAGTGCCCAGAGAGTGTATGTGGCGTGTACTTGCTTGTCCTGGGGTACCGGACACCCTCCTCGCTGTCATCAAGTCCTTTCACACATCTATGTCTGCCACAATCCGCACATCCCAGGGACACCCTCAGCCCATCAACATCAACAACGGCTTGATGCAGGGGTGCTCTATGGCCCCCGTGCTTTTCAATCTATTCATGTGGGCCGTTTTCACTGTTTGGTCCCGGAGAGTGTCCGCAGTTCCTGGTGTCGGCATGGAGGTTCGCTATTGCATTTACGGAAATTTGTTCGGCAAGCCGAGGACGCGAAAGATATCGACCAAGTTTGGGGAATGCCAGTTCGCCGACGATTCAGCCTTGTTAGCGACTACACGTGACGGTGCTCAGCTCGCACTCTCTGTATTCCAGGCGACTGCTGCTGATTTTGGACTAACTGTCAGCACTACCAAGACCCAATTCATGGTGTGCGGCAGCAACATCCAAGATGCAGACTGTGTCCCACTCACGCTGGCGGATGTTGAGATCAAGAATGTGGCTGAATTCAGGTATCTGGGTTCCATTATCGCCAGCAACAGCCGTTCGGCAGTGGACGTCAACGCCCGCATTGCGAGTGCCTCCAAGGCCTGTGGTGCTTTACAGCGCCCTGTATTTGCCAATGGTCAGCTTCCTGTGTTCTTGAAGAGGTGTGTTTTCAACGCGTGTGTCATGTCCTTACTACTATACGGTTCTGAGTGCTGGGTCCCCCTTCAGGGCGACTTGCAACGCCTGTCCGCCTTCCATATGCGTTGCGTCCGCTCTATCCTTGGTGTGTCGAGACAGCAGATGTGGGATGCCCACATCAGCAATGCTGAACTATTGCGTATGTGGGGCGATCCGGAGACCATCACCTGTAAGCTTCGGCATCGTTGGCTAGAGTGGCTAGGTCACCTGACGCGCATGGATGACACCCGCATGCCGAAGTGCCTTCTGTTTGGCCAGCTCCCACCTGTCAGACCTGCCCATGGACCAAGGAAACGGTGGAAGGACTGCGTGTCGGTCGATCTTTGACATAACCAAATTGTGAACTGGTACCAGACCGCTAACACATCTCGCATGGAATGGCGATGTAGATACCAAGACCAGGATAAGGAACTGGCCGCAGCAGCCCCCGTTGAGTGCCCCACCTGTGGAAAGGTCTGCTCTAGACCAAGTGATCTTAAGCGCCACAAGTGCACAGCGGAGCGTCGCAAGCCAGTCCATCAGCAGCGTGGTGCATGTCAATGCGCAGATTGTGGGAAATGGTACCGTAGCAGGGGTGGACTCGCTGTGCACAGGTGTCAGCCTACCTCAATCGCTAGCCAGCCCGCTTCCGCTCCTTGTAGACCTCACCAGAACCGCCCAACAACGGATGAACGTGCCAAGTTTCCACTAATGTGTCAGCACTGCTCTCGGAGATTTCGGCAGTCCAGGGACCTGACCCGGCACCGGCGTGTTTGCTCCTCTCCCTCCTCCCGCAATGGGACCACGTAACCTTTAAGGCAGTGGGTCAACAGGACAGGACAGGTGTATATGTGTATGTACGCATATGTATGGTGCAGTGGTATGTGCTGTCGATTTCCAATCGAGAGGTTACGGGTTCAATTCCCGACGATCATGGTCACACATGTCTTTCTTCTCTTTATCCTTCTCCTTGCTCTTCTTTCATTCTCCTGGGTGCATGCCAGAGTATGTGGTGTGGTGTGCAAAAAGAAAAAAGAAAAAAACTGAAAAACTGGAAAATATTGATTCACTGGCCAGAGAAAGCTTCAACTAGCTGTGTGGTGTAGACCGGGCTACAATTTAGTGGCGGTAAATTCATCAGCATGCAAGAGTACATAACCCCTGCATAACCTCTATACTGTGCTGCGACGGCAGACCTTCACATCACTTGACATGGATCGAAAACAGTGCAAAGTGACTACAAGAAAGTTGAATCCAAAGCAGGGTTGCGTACAACACTGTATCTATCATGCACATGGTGCAAATAATGTGTCTGGGTTCGTCACGTGATGTGAAGTTTCGCCGTCGCAAACCCCGTAGTTGGGGTTGCACACTCTTGGAGGGTTATGCACTCTTGATGCGTGGCATGCCAAATGCGGCTAGTTCCTGTGGTACATGTGTTGTACATGCTGCTTTGTTTGTGTCACTTCGTTGTACATGCTGCTTCATGGTCTTTTGCTCCACATGCGTTTTCATCTCCCCTTTCTAACATGCTGCTGTACCGCCTTCTCTCTCTCTCTCTCTCCCCCCCCCCCCCCCCCCGTATACGCACTTTCTGTACTTGTCCCCGTTCGGGACTGATCGTAGCACAATTTGCACTTCTTTCGCTTCCACATCCGCACCTTTCCCTCACGCCTCAATAATATGATTGATATTCCTTGGTCTTGTCTTGTGTCTTCATGTCATTCGTCCAGTCATCTCCTCAAATTCACTTCAAAATGTACTCTCTCTAGCCAAAACTGTTGGCTTTTTGATTGGCGTGGTCACGAGGGTGTAATAGCTCGTAACAACCTGGACGACATTTCTCAGTTGGTAGAGCATGAGACTCTTAATCTCAGGGTCAAGGGTTCGAGCCCCAGGTTGGGCGGCAAAGTGAATGACGGAGTTTGGAAGAAGTTGAAGGCGCGTAAAAATCTGTCAATGTCAATTCATGCTTGCACCGACGTAAAGAAGGAAAGAACAGGACGGTCCGAATAGTGTAAAATTGTTTTCAGTATCGCCATTGTGAAGAGCGGTATGTAGGTGAAACGGTGCAACACTTGCTCACACGCTTTCGTCAACATGTGTCTTTACATCTTGCCCCCCCCCCCCCCCCTGATGCACGTGACACCCATACACATCGAGGTCGCCCGCCCAAACGTGTTGCTGAGCTATTGGATAATTTGTCAACGATCCGGCCTCAGGCTCTGTTTGGTTGTCCGTCCTTGACTTCCCCCTCCTTTACGGGCATGGTGGGCAACCTGCCAAACCACCGAAGATCTCAACGGAGACGTAGGAAACTGCAAGAGTCACAAGGAGTCAAGAACAAGAAACAGTGGAAGTGATTCTCAGACAGCAACACTGGAAGTGACAACTACTGTGAACTAGAGGAAACGGTGAAGGCCACTGGAGAAGACCAAAGTGAGCTGATCTGCAACGGAATTATCTCATGCCAGAAGGTCATCGGGAGCCAGGCTTAGAGAGGCAACAGACGGGTCGAAAGATTAACCAAGGTGTCCAAGGCAGGAGAAAAACTCAACCAGATGGAGGTGGGATATCAATGGTCACTTGTCAAGCAATGTTAGGTGTCGTGAGTTGAATACAGATATCATGTTATGTCTTTTGTCACTCGTGGCAGATCAAAATTGTATCTTGCAGTTTCGGAAGCATTGTACATTCGTAAGGTGTACCCTGAGCTGTGTGTTCTAAAGGATAATGCGTTGTTTTTGTAGTTACATGTTGCTAGTCCTCATGAGTGTATTAGTAGTACCATGTGACGTGTTCTCCTGCCTTCTTTCTTTTTCACCCACTGAGTAAATGTGCCCTTTTAGTCACCAATTTCCACCCCTTTCATTCTCACTTCGTGAAGTGTTAGATTTAATCTTTTACTTGTACAAACTTATTGTCTTTATATTTGTAGTCTTTGAATTATTTCAACATCACCTGTATTGTCCTGTAAGGAAGGGAACGAAAACGTTTGGCAATTTTACATGTTCAGATCATCCTTCTGCCTGGTTCTGCTGCGTTGGAGCATTCGTGAATTGACACGAGGGAATGTGTATGTGTTTAGTTTATGTCCCTTACCCAGACATTCTCCTCCACCAAACCCCCCTGAAGACAGCCCAAGGGGTGCGGATAATTGGCACTCTACTGTATTGCCCTTTAAAATAAATTTTGCCATTTGGTATGCTGCATTGTTTCATGACGAGATAATCTTGTTTTTAGTACAGAAAGAGCGAGTTGTTTAGCGCTCTCTGCTCCATTGTTTGTTATTTAGTGCATAGTGTTCTACTGTGCTGTGTTCTGTTTTCTCGCAGGCAACTTTGCTGAGGATTGCCTGCAATATGAATGCTACGTCTGTTGTCAAGTTCCTGGCAAGCATTGTTGACAGGAACGTGCTGAACTGTGCAGGGGAGGTCAGGTGGCGTGCCCATACGGGTCAATATGTAAGTATAATGGAACACTATTAATTGAGAAGAACCCTGAAAATTGATAACGTACAGGCAGGAAAGAGTGCTCCTGGCGAGGCACTAAAGGATAGGAGAGAGGAAGAAGCAGGATGAGTATCAAAAAAGGGGAAAAAACCTGTGTGCATGCTATATGGAGGGGGGGGGGGCTGTGTCAGTTTCAGGCGCTGAATTTCACCGGCACATCAAAACACGCCTAGGGTTCCTGTAAGAAGGCGACCCTGCCTGTTGGGAGTCCCCCTAGGCCCTAGCAAAATAACTTTAAATATGATTCAATAATAATAATAATCGACAAAGAGACAATAGTCATAAAATGGCAATTAACATTCTACTCCCCATGCTAGAGTATAGAGCAGACACACACGCGTGCAGGACACGACACGCCAAGAGTGCGAGTTTGGAGTAATGGGAACGTCGGGCAGAGTAGCTGGCTTCAATTGAGTACACAATAACGAATCACGTGGTCGGCCTACCGAGGGCAGGAGCTGGATATGACCAAGTGGGTCGGCCTGCATTGAGCAGGAGAGATTTATGACTCATGCAAGTTTAATTGTAGTGTGCGAGAGGCCAGTTACGAAGGAGTGCCATGCCGACATTCCCATTAGGGACAGAGGAGATAGCGGGTGAGACAACCAATATACAGTCAAAACTCGTTAGGACGAACTTTAAGGCACGGAAAAAGTTTGTTTGTCTTATCCGGAGTTATTCTTATCCAGATCTGACAAAATATTCGATATCCATATCATATGGATTTTATTTATGAGAAGGTGCATGCTGTGACAAATGTAAAACATTTCCATAACAAAACCCAGCAACAGGTAAGTACAATGTTCAATGAACTCATGACAGCTTGTCCTCCGCCTTGTAACATGTTTTGCTAGTACAAGAGGCCTCGACTATCGGAAAAGACCTACAGCCAGCGTACCCACGGAGACCGAAAGTTCATACTACACGCTGATTTTGTTCAAATCACGCTTGAAATTAGTTCGTCTTCACGAAAGTTGAAGTTGAAGTACAATTGTTACAATTGTACTTCAAGTAGGGCATTCATTGAATCGCTTGTAATCTTCAGGACAGGGAAAATAGTACCAGGTGTGTGCATCATATCCAGTGGCCAGTATGACAGACTACGGTACTGCACAGAACCACCACTCCGGCTACTAGGGACCCACATCGACTCAAAAGTCATTATAATTGCACTCTAATGTCATCACTTTCGATATCTGCTCTGTTTGTTGTATTTCCCTTCTTGGTACTTTACCTGCAGAAAACCGTCTACGGTAGTGCTCTTCATGCAGCTACTGATCGAGGCTCCGTTAAGTGTTTACAGTATCTACTCGATGCCGGTGCCGATACAAACGTGACTGATGTGGTGAGGAAGCCAGTTATATCGTAGGTATTTGGTTTCCATGGTTCCTTTGTCCCCACGTGTATCTATAAGCGTGTCTGAATGTGCATCTGAATGTGTGTCTGTCTGAATGTGTGACGGTCTGAATGTGTGTCTGTCTGAATGTGTGTCCGTCTGAATGTGTGTCTGAACACGAGAGAGCTTGAAAGCTCGGTGCCCTACGCTATGCTTTTTTTGCCTAGCTCATCATGCAAGTTATCCAAACTAATGGAAGCGTCTTTGAGCTGATGTTAGGGAGGAGAAGTATGCGTTAGACCTGTAGAGGATGTCGTGTAGAATGAGAGCGAGTCACATAATCTGCCAGAGACGGTGTCTCGTCCGAGCCTGGCTCATCTTCGCCCTCAAACATCGATATCCACGGATTGGTCTGCTCGACAAACTCCCAGGCGCCTGATCGAATCGGGACATAAAACTCTCGATGGAAGCAAACATCTGGCCAACTGATAACTCCAGCTTCTGGAAACGCTCTAGCAAAACAGATTTGGATCTACCGACCGATCTGCGGGCCGATTTCCTACTAACACTTGATGTGGATTCAATATCTGACGCCGCTATACTCACCTCATTGTCCATCACCAGCACAGGATCAGCTCTCTCAGAACCGGAAGGAGAACCTGGATTTTGATGCTGAACGAAGACACCCTGAACGAAAACACGGATTGAGAACTACTAGCGCCAAGAACAAAACTGACACTATTAGAATTTGTGCGTGACATCTCAATAAAACCTTCCTGAAATGACGCTTCTTTCTTCATTTATCTTATTATTTTTCAGACGCAACGTGGGATTCGAACATGTACTATCGCCCTGCATGCATTCCCCCGATACACTTCGCACACATACACATTCTTGCAAGTTGCTTCACGTTATGATCTTGCAGTTGAAAGCCCTATTTGAATAAGATGGCCAGCTGTCTTTGATGGCACAGTACGGGACACGTACGGGGTAGCGCCAGGCATGCCCGATGACACAACAAACAATGACGGAATTAAAGCTGTGTGGACCCTAGCTAGCGCCAGGCATTACTTAACCCTTTGCCGGTCTAACTCAATGTATGTGAGGGGTGGTCACGCAAATACATGTACACACAACCAGCAATAACTCAAGAACCATGTGATGTAGGTATGGGTAAACCATATATTTTCAAAATCTGTATGCCTGAACGCGTCCAGAAAATTCAAATATGACTAGGTCCAGGCAAGGATAGGGCCCATGGTAGCCCTTCAAGTTGAGAGAAAATACAATTGCGAATGAAATACACGAATATCACAGCAGGAAGGGCATACCAAGTTCGTGATGGAGCTGAAGTCGTACGATAAACAATCAGGTAAGGGCTACGTCTTTACAAGAAATGTAGGCTCTCTACAATACCGCCATTGAACACCAACACCACGCCATCGGCGATACGCCAGCAGCAGCAATTCCCATTCCACGATATCGCAGTTTCGGTTTGTTCATCTCAGCGCTGATCGCGTCAGATTCACTCTCGCTCAGATGAGTACTCAGGCACGAGCTTACGCATGCCATGATTCTCACGGCCAGGCGAATCAGCTGATCGCACCTGACGAGTCCTTGTGACAGTCGCTGTCGCGGTGTCGGCAGCAAGAAGGCTTCCTCTCTGTTTGGAGAATTTTGTTTCTTCATTCGTGGACGATATATTTTTGAACTAGCAGGACTCAACGGAGCTCTTTTTCTCAACACACTATACTGCAAAACCTCCCGGGACATCCAGCCTGGACTGGTGATGTTACTGCTCTCAGAACGCTTGTCAAACACGGCCCCAAGAGATGCACTCGCATTCTTGAAATGCGCGCATGGCGGATGGTCGTCTTTTCCAATTTCAACAACTTCAGTCGATCGATACGGCAAAAAATTGTATGGTAAGCATGGTTGTTTTGCACATCGTCAGAAAGCCTTTGACCTCAGCTACGCGTAGAGCGCCATTTTAGCTGTCTCCTAGCAACAAGACCCCAAAAAAATGAGGGCACAACGTACCGATACTATAGTATCGGTACGCTTATGGTAGACCGGTAAAGGGTAAAGTAACATCTTTTGCATAGCTACGGGAATAAATCCTTAGTATCCAGTGTAATTCGTAAGCAGGGTTGGTCTCACGAGCGGGAAACACCGCTCATATACATCTGCTATGCCAATCCGCTGAGAGTGACATTATTTGGTATATGCATGTTATGCCTGCAGGTAGAGGGAAAACTTGTTAGTCGGTCACAGCTCCATTCACACCTCAGTTCCTCCCAGGTTCTTGCTGGCCAGCCTGCGAGTTGGTTTCTTGAAAGCCACTTGACAGGTAGATCAACTCAGAAAGCAACAAAAAGACTGTGTACGTGTTAGCTGCTCTGGCTAAACGGTCCTTTTCTAAGACACTTTCATAGGACAGCGTTATAGTTTTATGAGTATAATAATGGAAGGAGTGATATGACACAAGAATGAAGTGTACCAATAAACGAGAGAGCTTGGAAGCTTAGGGCCCTACGCTATGCTTTTTTGCCTAGCTAGCTCATCATGCATGTTATTAGAACTGATGGAAATGTTTTTTTTCCATTGATTGGCTACATCAAACTTTCTCTTCGCATAGGGTAACACGACACCGTCTACATGGTCTACCACCTTGATGACCTAGGCAAAAAAAGCATTATTATTATTACTTGCATGTACGCGTTCGAGTCAACCATGCAAGCATGATTCACAACTTCGCTTATGCTGAACATGACAAACAGGACTATGACAGGGGAAAATTGAGCTAGAACGATGATATAATTATGATAATTATATCTAAAAAGTCGGCGTGGAGAAAGCAATTTTATTAGTGCAATAATGAGTATAATAGATGCTTTGTGCCTGCACTCAGTTATATATTTTAGCACTATGTTTGACACCTATTATGTAATGCTGTAGCACTTCCCTTTTTTGTTCACACTTTTAATTATGCTGTTATAAAAATGACGGCTTTGAGCAGCAAAGCCAAGTTAGCCCACGCATGCACGTGTTTTGTCACAGGTTCGTCACGCGGCACATGAATGAAAAATATGTTTTCCGAAAATGGTTGATGAAAAAATATATCTTGTGTGGCCGCTTTGCCCTGCCTCGTGTCAGCAAAGCAACTTCCTTGTCAACAATTTCTGTCATCCAGTTGGTCAAAGTGACTCAAGGTTGTGTTTTCTCCTTTGTCTCGCCGCCAAGTTGTACAAGAGTATCAGTTGTGCTAGTCTGCATAGACAAGCGCTGACTCGTGTGAGCTGGAAGCGCTTGAAAATTCACAACTTCAAACAGCGATTGATCGCGCTTGGTTGAAATATTTATTTGTTGCGTGGGCAGATAGAGTAGCTCATGGTCGCAGAAGTGAATTTCCTGGAGTCATGAGGCCAAGCAAGAACTACTCGAAGCAGAGGACCAGTTATTTAGGCCTCGACATGGCGAGTGGCGTTGACGCCAACTCAGAAATGGCTGTGATTACCTGTCAAAAAATCTAGCCAAAGAAGTAGACAAGGAGCAGAGGCATTTACATGGACAACGTACGATGGTGGTTTGCAACATGCTACTACTGCTGGAGCGACGTTGAGTGCAGGGACGATCGTTGATCATCTACGTATCAGGTGTGGTTGTCAAACGCTTGTGGCCTTTGATGTGGATATGAAGATTTTATGCCCACTGTGCGTTCGTTATGCACCACATCTGCTGTGCACGTGGCATTACCCTATCTCAGGGAGAAATCATCAACCCAATCATTCTGGGTAAAACTATTCCTGATAGCTGTGCAGGCCAGCACAAGAACCAGTACGCTGCACTAACCAAGGTGCTTATGTTCGTGTGCTTGATGGTCGATGGAATGAGTTCAACTGAAAGCAACGGTTCCGCAGGTCTTCGACAACCTCAGCAAGGTGGTCGGCCCAGCAACAGTGGTGACGGTACTTGGCATAGAAGTCGACAGCATGGACCAGGTGATGCGGCTACCTGACCAGAAGTTATCGGCCTTTCTAGCGGCTTTGAGTGAGTAGTCCATGTGCACTAGCTACACAACGCGGGAACTGCTTTCGCTGATCGGAACCTTGTCCTTGCCGCAAAGGTGGTTCCTCCTGGCAGGACCTTCATCCTTCAACTCCTGTATCTTAGCTGGACAACTCTGTCTCTTCAGTCAGTAGTCAACATCGACACAGAAGCTCACTTGGACATCGAATGGTCGCGCTCCTTTGCCGCAAACTGGGATGGCCAATCCTTCTTCTACGATGTTAAGTGTTCAAAGTCCCCCGACCTTGAGCTATTCACGGATGCCTCTGATGTTGGCTTCTGCGGTTTCTATCAAGGACAATCGTTTTTGGGGCAATGGGCCGCTGAGATGCAGCATGAACCTATTGTGATTACTCGCTTCCGAGAACTGGCTTCCACAGCCAACCAATGCCTGGTGCCAACTCCTCCGCTGAACTTGCCGCTCTGATTGCTGCCTGCAATGATCTCATGAGCGACTCAGACCTTTAAGCCCGGTATTTGCGCACACATAATCTGATGTACCCAGTTTCGGCTATGGCCGAGTTCCGGTCCCTGACCGCTACTGCCGGCAGCTCACGGCCAGTGTTTGTGTTCGTCAACGGCAGCTACTTCTCCCGAGTTTGCTCGACTAAGATCCTCAACTGCAACCGGGTGAGATCCCATTCTGTGCGCATCGGCGGGGCCACACTCATGGCTCCCCGGAGTACAAGTGTCTGTGAAGCAGCCATATGCCGTGCAGACTGCTGGCGAAGTGCAGCATCCGATCACTATGTCAGGCGTGCAGCCGGTATGCCCCTGTGCAATGGCTAGCAGCAAAGACTGGAACAGCCCACGCCCATGTGGTGTTGAGAACAGAAGTGAGGTACATTTGTAGTGTTGTACAGTGTCGTGCCGTCCGCTTGTTGTGCAGTCCTTGTGCCGGTATGGCTCTGTGGGTATCACTTAGGGGTTTGCCATGGTTACTTGTAGGAAGTTATGCTAATGAGCGATACCGTGAGAAATGCTTGGTCGTGAACACTGGTTTTTGGGAGGGTCAAATGCATTTGCCTCTCAGTGTTGTGCTGTACTGTCTCAGTGTTGTGACACCTGTATGTTGTTGTGTGGTTGACCCGCCGGTTTGAGGCATGGGTGGTCAACTGTGTATGTTGTATCGGTGTGTTCCCGTTTGAAGTTGCCGGGCCACCATGTGGTTGACTCGCCGGTTTGAGGTATGGGTGGTCAACTGTGTCTGTTGTATCGGTGTGTTCCCGTTTGAAGTTGCCGGGCCACCATGTGGTTGACCCGCCGGTTTGAGGGATGGGTGGTCAACTGTGTCTGTTGTATCGGTGTGTTCCCGTTTGAAGTTGCCGGGCCACCATGTGGTTGACCCGCCGGTTTGAGGCATGGGTGGTCAACTGTGTCTGTTGTATCGGTGTGTTCCCGTTTGAAGTTGCCGGGCCACCATGTGGTTGACCCGCCGGTTTGAGGCATGGGTGGTCAACCGTGTATGTGTATCATTGAAGGTGCAATACGTACATTGCGGTGACTCGCCCGATTGCTGTTGCCGGGCACCTTCGCATTTATTTGCCTACTTGTGAAGAGATATCTCTTCTGGTTTATTGCATAATTCTTGGCTCAGTGTTATCCACGGTGTCGCTCGATGCAAAGTCTCGTAAATATTTATCAGACAAAATTGAAAGAAAAAAAACTATGGCAAACCCCACTTCCTTGTATTCTATCTGTTTGGTGTACATGTGTCCACGTTTTGTACGTTTGGCACGCACATGCGTGCGTGTGTATGTGAGAGCGTGTCTGGATAAATGTGCATATTGATGTTTTGTTTGTTTAAAGTTTTATTGTGTGTATGCGTGCATGCATGTGGGTTAATGTTCTTTTTTGTACACAGTACCCTCAGTTCCG